TATTATAGATATCATCGAAAATGTCTTTATCCGAGCGGTTATCTTTGCCATTAATCATCTCCAAAGTCTTCCACTCTTCCTCTTTCAATGAGCTATTGCTTCCATTTGTCATTCCTATGGATTCAGTACTAATTTCTAACACCTCTTCAATGGGCGCGTCACCACTTCCCGAACCACTACCATCTTCAACGACCACTGAATCACTCGCTTCTGTGGTCTCAAAGACAATCACATTCTCATCTCTCAAATCAATTGTCGTAACATTGGATTCAAAGACTTTGGACTCATTTAATCCTTCAGGAAATGTTTCATCGAATGTCACGTTAAACGAAGTGTTATTCAACGGATCAGACCCTGAACTCAATGAAGACTCAGTGGTTATATTCACTGAATCCATAATCAAAGTAGTATTGATGGGACTGGTATCAGATGGTATTGAGTCACACGACTCGCCGCAAGGATTATCAAAATAGGTCGACAGAAGTGCCGCTTGAAGTATAGGCTGTTGGGCGTGGATTATACTTAACGGGAAGGGTATATAATATGTCAAAAGACCACATCTGTGGACATAAAAAAATAAAAATTCACGTATAAACTATTTAGAAGTGAACAAAATTGACCAAGTTTATGGTCAGTTAGTGTATACCTGTCATATATGAACATATCATCTTTGCCGCCGTCCAATGCATTCCACACCAATTCGTTGCCATTTTCCTGATACACACCAAAAGACACTTTTTGTGTCAGATCTTTGAGTTTCTGTTTTGCATCCAAATCCTTGGAATTAATTAAAATAAAGTGAATGTCCTTTAGTCCAGACTTCTTGAGAAATCTTCTAACTTTACTTTCTATTCATTTGCAATCTTTGAACTAACGTTTAATATTTCATTGCATTTATTGAATGAATTTTGAAAATTATTTTATTTACATTCATATGAATTTGAGAATTTATATTTATATCGAGTGATTAGTTTGTGTCACACTGTGATAGCAATGAAATGAGTGTGCTCAATTTATTTTAGCACTTAAATGCAGAGATTTCAATACTATTTGACGTAAATTCACTCTCATATGCTAATTATGTTAAAAATAAATTTGATTCAACTAGTAGAATTTCCATTTCTATTTTATATTTCAAATTGATCAATACTACCGGTAATCTAAAGTTTTATAATATATTTTGATACAGTATATATTTTATTTAAAATTAGATTAGTTTTTTATCTAAATTATCGTGTTTTAATTTTGCGAAATAAATGTTTATTTTATTAAGTTTATTTTTATTATTTAGTTTACAAATTTAACTTGTCTTACGGTATTACTTGTTGGGTAATCAAGCTAGATTGTTTTTATTTTAAAGTTAAACTGCATAATTTCAATTATTTTAATCGGATTCATTAATGTTTGATATTAAATAAATATAATTAAACTCTTTATTTATTTTATTTCTTAGTGGAATAATAATAATATATATTCTAATTAGCAGATATAAACAAGTTGCTAGATAGTATAACAAATAGGAACGTTTGCACTTTAATAGTGGCATAAGTGAATAAATTATTGATATTTTGCATATTCCTGAGTAGTGCGATATCTTAATTGGAAAATAGATGTATTGATACAAATAAAAAAGTTGATTGGTCAACGTCACTATAAGCGCCTCTGAAATCCAGTTTATATTATATGGATAGACATATAACCAAATGAGACTTTTTGGAAAATAGCATTTACTGTATATTATACTTTTATTAAACTTTTATAATGAATATGAGTGTGTTTATGCATTATAAAAGTTTAATAAAAGTATA